CACACACACACACACACACACACACACACACACACACACACACACACACACCTTTTTGAGACAGAGTCCCCTATTGGCCTGGAGCTCACTAATTAGGAATGAGCCCCAGAGCTCTGCCTGTCTCTACCTCCCCAGCACTGGGATTACACGTCTCACCACATCCAGCTTTTTTCCATAGGTTCAGGGGATCGAATTCAGGTCTTTGTGTGTGTGAGAAGGATGCTTTATGGACTGGGCCATCTCCCCAGCCCCTTCCACTTTTTGCACGTCTCTGTTTATAATCGCCTTATAAATGTTTTAGCTCACCATGGGACTGCTGAGAAATACAGAGGTAATGATTAATCCAGGGCGCATGCAGCTCAGTGTTTACCTCCCACACCAACCTCTGCTCCACTGGCCTTTCCTGCCTTAAATAGGACTCAGCTGCATGGCATTCCCAAGCTCAGCGTATGCCCGAGAGACCTTCTCTCCACCCAGTGCCCTGTGCCGTGTGGCCCGTCACCCACCCACAGTCTTCCCTTGTTCTCTTAGGCTCCATCCAGCACAGTGCAGCTTCTGTGCTTTGTATTATATGACAAATAAGAGACTGGGTGAGTCTGAATTCCCCCAGAAATGAAGAGCTGGCTCCGACAATGGATGCTACAAATGGGGAAGCCTGGATGACATCCTTGGGAGAATAAACTCTTTTTGGACACACCAGTGACAGGCCATACTTCTGTGTGTGCGTGCAGGCTGAGGAGAATTCTTAACCATCAGGAAGTAGGTGCACATCAGCAGCCATTCATCCTGGCATGAGATTAGAGTCACCCACAGGTAGAGCAGCTGTCTTGAACCCTGCTACAGGTGGTCCCTCAAGACTTGGATGGTTGATTTGCAATGAACTATGTGCACAGATGGATAATATCACCAAGTCATGGAGTTCTCCAATCACCCCCTTCCCAACTGCTGCTGGAAATGGAGGCCAGCTATTACATGTGATTTGCACATGTGTGTATGAGAGGGTGCTCACTTGTGGCAGAGGTTGACTTCAGATATTTTCTATCACTCACCACCTTATTTTTTTGAGGCAGGGTCTCTTCACTGAACTGGACGCTCACCATTTCAGCTAGACTGGCTTGCCAGTAGGCACCAGGTATGTCTCTCTGCCCACCCTGCTACCAGCATTAGGGTTACAGGGCCACTCCACTTTTTTATGTGGGTGCCAGGGATCCAAACTCAGGTCCTGGTGTTTGTATAATATACACTTTACCTAGAAATCTCCTTCACTGCATCTCCTGTCTTCACAGAGCTGCCCTCAGAAAACTTCCGTAAGGGAATTTTATAGTGTGTAGTTAGGGTCAGCTCAATCCTGTGCAAACCTCCAAACTGACTCAGCCTCAGTGAAGGCACTGAGCCTTCAGAGCTCTCAGCCAATCCCGGCTCCTTGCCAGTCCCCACAGCCTGCTCAGACAATCCAGGTAAACCCTGCTCGGTTACTCATCCTAGCCCAAGCAAATTCTCCTAAAAGTTGTCTTCAAGTGATTAACCAACAAAATTTTCACTTTATTTAAGTAGAAGGAAGCAAGTGCTCAAGGTCACTGACGATTCCCTCCCACATATCCCTGAAATCTAGAGGTCAACCTCAGGATCTAGTGAATTAACTACGAAATTAATTCTCAGAAAAGGCCTCCTCTTGATCAGCTACCTGCAGTTCGGATGCGCCTGCACTGTCTTCATGCTGGGCTAGCCTAAGTTCTCGCTCAGGGGGGCTGAATTTGGGTTTGTTTCTTTAAACTGTTAAGTATGCCATGGTGAGCATAGGCACTTGTGAAGACTCAGACCTTCATCCTTCTTTACTACTGATCTGCTCTGACTTGAGCAATGGTTTTCAGAGTGTGCTCCCCACAATGGGAGCTGCAGCTAGAAACAGCCGGGAACTTCCTGGAAAAACAAATTCTTTTGCCTTCTTCCCAAGTCCACTCAGACTCTGGGAGTGGGGAGCAACAGTCTGTGATTTAAAGAGGTCTCCAGTTGATCCTGAAGGGGACTATTCTATGCCACACACACACACACACACACACACACACACACACACACACACACGCCTCACATACACACACTCACACACACACACAGAGGGAGGCTATCAGATGTCTGTCACTGCTATTCTAAGTGTCCTGGCCAGCAATTACTCTCTGTCCTATTACCTGAGGATCATCTCAGACATCCTGATGTGAGGCCGATTCAGATTTGCATATCTGACTTAACATGTCAGATTTGCAAATCTTGAGTAAATATTCTTTAAGATTCTTCTATAATAACTGGGCATTTGAGGTTCTGTGGATTTAGAAAGCAGCCACTCACCCATGTGAACAGACTGACTTACAATCATATTCATAGATGCAAAGGACTCAACCTGGTATCAAAACTATAGCAAATTGGGTATTTTGTTTTAAAGAATCCAAACATTTAGATACCAAGTCACAAATCCTTATTAACAATACAATGCGATTTTGCAACCTTATGAGTGACCTGGGAGGATGCCCAGAGAACTATTTTGTAGCCTCTGTATGTATTAAATTCAGCTAAGCCAGTGCATATAGAAAGCAAACTGTAAGGTTCAAAGCCCCACTCATCTAAAGGTCACAAAATGCTGACCTATAGACAAAAAGGAGTTGCATGTGACCACAAATCTTTTCAAACTCTTTCATATGTTTCATTTCCGTTGGAGATCCTATGTTGAAAAACCATGTTTCTTCTTTCTCTTGGAAATGAGTTGCTGTGGTAACATATAACCCATGTTCCCACGCAGCACAAATCACCTGTCTCTTTGCTGCTCAGTGACATCTGCTTTGGAGGGCAGATGTCAACTTTCCTTTCCATGCCCCTGATTTGGGTGACATACTTGCTCCTGAAACCTACTGAGTTCACAGCTTCAAAAGATCCTCGCTGGGGCTGGAGAGAAGGCTCAGAGGGTAAAAGCACATGCTGGATGAGCAGGAGAACCTGAGTTCCGAATCCCAGAGCCCACATGAAAAGCCACCTGTGGCCTCACCTCGGCTTGTAACCCTGATGCTTCGGGAAGCAGAGACGGGAGGATCACTGCAGCTTACTGCCCTCCACCCCACCTTAGCTCCAGGTTCACTGAGGGGCCCTGTCTCAAAGGAATAAGGTGGAGCATACGAGAGCTCACATGTGTGCCCCATCCCTCTCTCTTTCTCTCAGTCTAAGCATAAGCAGATAGTACATTCATCCAAAATTTCCTAATTTGGCAAAAAAATGTTGAGGTTGGTGTCTCTTTTCTATTTCAAGATGCACAAGTTCCAAGCTGTTTATTTACTGTAAATAGAAACCTCTGTGCATGCTCACTGGATGCCTGCTCTGAGCGTGTCTTAGAAATTTCCCAAATCACTCTGACGGCGTCTATCCCCATCCCCAATTCACAGATGAGGAAACCAAGGGACAAGGACATAGTTCAGATAAAAATCTAGAATCCGCACTCCTAACTACCCTACCAGATTGTTCAAGGTCCTGGCAGCCTTCAAGAACCCTGTTCTACGCATCATGCCTATTTGTTGTCTCAGCCTGAGTCACGTCACATAGGTCATGACTGACCTTACTATTCCCAACATCCCCACAAAGGAATCGGTGATGAAATGGGAGTAGTTCAAAGGACCAATAGCAGTGGTTCCCAAAGTGCTGGAGAGCTCCTACCGAGAGGCGAGAGGCGGATGGGCCTCCACCGAGCCCTGGCTTTCTCCGATAATGGCCGTTCATAATCCGTAAGTCCCAAGTGCTCCCCACTCTGCTTCCCACAACTTTTAAGTTTGGGAGAGCAGTTGCTCTTTGTCCTAAGAGGCTCAAGCCCTGAAATTCCCAGGTACAAATACAGATACAAATACTATCCAGAGAGCTTGGTGACCCTTGCACATGCTTGTGTAAGGCTCCCTTGGCACGGTCAGGACCGGTAATGACCCTGAGCGGTCCCAAAGTGACATCTACTTACTGTGCAACCTTGCAAATTCAAGCCAGGGCAAACGCTTCCCCTCTGCTAAAATTCTTATTAGCTGCCTTCTTAGGCTTTTACATGGAATTTTAAAGCCACGATGCCATCTCTGTCTTTGAGATGGAAGTAGGTAGCAGATAAATACCCAAGATTCTTAATTCTTCAGTTCTTTGTTAAGTACTCGCCAGTGGCACAGGTCCACAGAGATGTGTGTGTGTGAGGGTTCTCACAGGAAACAGTGTTTGTTACTAACGCCTCTGCATCCCAGATTTGGGATGTTGAGGTGAGTCATATGTAAATCATAACAAGGACTTCTATGCAGCGCAGATAGAGCAACCTCAGTGGCATGGGTCAATCATAGGCTAAAAGCCTCCTGGGACACTAGGCCCCCATTTGAAGCTGGTATGTATCTTTTGAAGCTGGTATGATCAGGGATGTATCATTGAAAAATTAAAGGCACAAAAAGATGACTATAAGGAAAATCCAACAAATATTTTCTCTAGGCCTACTCAGGACAGAGAATGGGATCAGGTGGAAGCCATCAACATGCTAACTGAACCCATAGAAAGGAAGAAAAGATGGTGATGAGATAGGGGGAGAGGAGGGTGGAAGGAGAGAGAGAGACAACTCAGAGAGAGAGACAGAGTAAGAGAGAGAGAGAGACAGAGACAGAGATACAGAGAAAGAAACAGTACATAAAAGTCAGAAAGAGAAAAGACAGAGTCAAAGAAGTGGTAAAAGGGAACAAGAGAGAGGAATGGAGGAATGGAATGAGGAAGAGAAAGAGAGAGAGAGAGAACTTAGGCATGATCTCAGAAGGTCCTAATTCTATAAAGGCATATTCAAGTCCATGTACTTCCAAGCTCACCACTCTCCTTCCTCCCCAGGAGGATCCAGGCTGGATATGCTACTGACACAAAAAACTTGGCATCAGGAGAGACCAGAGCTTCCCCAAACATTTCTGCATCTCACTCTGGGGGTCTGGATGCTCAACTGTGCAGTGGAGACAGTGAAACTCACCTCCATGTATAAAAAAGAAAGCAGAGTGTAAACCATTTGTGTGAATTGTGAGGTTCTGTGCAATTGCAAAGGCAGATTTTGATCATTCCACGGAGTGGGTTCCTAATATATGATGAAGTCTGAAGGGAGTGTGGGTTAGGTTACATTCCGTATTTCAGTACACATTGATGCAGTGATGTTGGGGGCCTTTTCTATGGAGCTCTTGGGCCTTTTTACCCAAGATGGCCTCTATGACATTCAGTCATTTTCACTCATGCCCAAGGAAAACTATCTGCCAGTTGGATATGGAAACATAGCAACACCCTCCCCCGAAGTCAGTTTCTACTGAGACTGAGCAGCTTCCTCCCCAAAAGAATGTAACTTGATGGGCTGCAGTTTGTATTGGGCGTTTCCATGCCCTGCACCCAGGATTGCAAGAGGCTCCAAAGGGCAGAGGTCTCCTGGTTCACTCAGGCTTTTCCAATGCTATGCAGTCAGTCTGCTGCTGCCTCAGGGGCTCAGAGGCTGTAGAGAACCCACACAGCACCCTCATGAGAAAAGATGAGGTACTGCAGCCATCCTCGGTGGCAGTGGATGGCCTGCTCTGTGGGTTGAAACCCTGATTTTGGCACCTGCACATACCTGTTACACATAGACTCACACATATACACATAGATACAAATAAATTTTAAAAAGACATTTCATGGAGGCTAGGAAGATGGCTCCGTGGGTAAATAAGTGACTGTGCATGGAGCCTTGAGTTCAGATTCCCAGCATCCATGTAAAAAAACCAGGCATGGAGGCACACGTCTGTACTCCAGTGCTGAGCACAGAGACAGGCAGATCTCAGGGGCTAGCTGGGCAGTCAGGCAAAATGGGGAGCTCTAGGTTCAGTGAGAAACTCTGCCTCAGAACGACAGATATTTCTACCTGAGGAAGAGGAAGACAGCCAACATCCACTTCTGATTTCTACACACAAAGGCAAAAAAAGGCAAGTGCATTTATTCACATACACACCCACACAGCTAACACACATGTACACACACATGCCACACACATACACATGCACACAGATACGTCACACGTCACACAACACACACGTACATCTCACACACATGTACGCGCACAAACATGCAGCACACATCTATGTACACAGAAAACACATGTGCACACACAGAACACGCAATGCACATGTGTGCACACATATGCATGTACACACACCACATAACACATAATACACACATGACAGATATTTATACAAAGGACACACACACCACACATACATGCACCCAGAAAACACACATGTACACATCTACAACACACAGCACACAAACACATTTACACATGCACAGAGAGAACACACATGTACACACACCACACACATACACATGCACACAGATAACACACACATGTATATACACACATACACACTTCAGTCTTTCATCATGTTCATGCTCCCAACTACTGACTTAACCTTTTGCTTTTGCTTTTCTCTTTCTCACAGTAATTTTTCTGAATAAATAATAAGCAAACAATAATAAATACATACATACATGGATGGATGGATAGATAAATAGATAGACAGATAGATAGATAGATAGATAGATAGATAGATAGATAGATAGATAGATAGATGCTCCGTGGCCATTGGAAAGGTTATGACGTTAGTTTCTATGTTATTTTATCCAAGCCTTGATCAAGTGACTTTTGGGGCCAAGGGTTGGTGGGGAGATTGCTCCACATGCCTTCAGGCTGGTTTTCATGTCTCACTCATGAGGTCATGGGCACTGTCCTACTTGTAATGCACATTAATTGATTGCATGCTCTTCTAATTCATCCCTGACCATGAGCAACTTTGTGTTTAATCGAGGCCAGACTTAAACCAAGGCCTTGCTGAATGCACAACATTCAGTAAATGGTCATCATTGTATTATTTCTCCTCAGTCACTCTGCTGTCAGAAGCATTTTGTAAATTCTATAGGTTATAGCTGTGGAGATGAAAGGACCAAGAAAGAGGAAAGACATTTGCCAAGGATGGAGTTGCTCGTCTTTTGACAGGACACGAGAGCCCTCTGATCTCATTGATTAGTCTCTGGCCTACTTTAGCAGATTCAGCTGAGGCACCGTGGCCGCTTAGTAATCCATAGTAGGTGATTCCCACAGATGATCATGCAACAGCTATTCTGGGTCACTGGACACCTGACCTTTCAAACACTGAGCTTGGGGCCGGGAATGGAGGCACACGCCCGTAATCCCAGCACTCAGAAAGCTCTGACAGGTGGGTCTCTATGAATTCAAGGTCAGTCTGGTCTACGTAGTGTGTTCCAGGCCAGCCAGAGCTACATCATGAGACACAACCCCTTTTAAAATTAAACGTGTAAGGGCAAGACCTTCCTTCTGGTGGTTGTCAGCATTCGTGGAACCTAGGAGAGAGAAACTTCCCCAAAAGTGATGAAGGAGCGGATGAACGGGCCCTCAGGTCCCAGTTCTTGCTGTAGAGAAAGGGATGCTGGCTAGATTTGACCTCCCTCATCATAGCAAAGGAAAACAGCTGCCCGCCTTCCTCCCAGCAGTGTACACAGAGCTGAGGGCTACTCTTGAACATCATCCCATGGCACCCGGGGGCCAAAGTCTCCCCATTCCCTAGTCTTAGAAGCAGAGACACACACTAAGAAAAAGTCCCGGGCCCATTTTACAGAGGAAAAAACGGAGGCTCCGTCTCAAGACTGAGACCCAAGAACCCAAGTAGTGAAGCTGTGAAGAACCATTCTCTTCCCTCTTATCTCCAAAATGACTTTTTAGGCATGTTAGGTTCTGGGGAAGGACTGTAAGCATCTCAGAGCCCCCCCCCCCCCCGAGGATTCTGGGAAAGTGGCCAATAGAGGCAAAGTTTGCTTAATCTACAAAGAGTGTGGACTAAGCCAAAATGTGGCATAAAATTATCTACTGATTGTAGCCCCACATCCACCCTCGCTGTTCTCCTGTGTTTCTTAACATTCTCCCTCTCTGTCTGTCTGTCTGTCTCTGTCTCTTTCGCTGTCTCTCTCTCTCACACACACACATACACACAGAGAGACATACACAGTGATAACACTTAGAAAGTCTTTCCCAACACATATTTTTGTGGATGTTGACCCCACCCCCTCTGTTCTCTCAGGTCCACAGGAGGAACTTAGTCCCACAACCAAACAGATCTGGCTGTATTTGTTGTCTTATCTATTCAAACCCCCTTCCCCCCCGATCATTCTTGAAAACCACCTTGGCCATGGCTGAGATTACTCAAGCCTACTTGGAACAGGTGGCCCTGGTGTTAGCTGCTGTTGGCACTGTACTCAGAAAGTGAGTCCTTTCATGGAGTCAGCTGTCCCTGAGGCATGCGGGGACACTGGTCTCGCAGAGGCAGAAAATGTGACAACTGTTGCAAACAGCCAGCAGCAGCCCATGGGAGCGGCTGAGTGTTCTCTGGAGCAGACACTTGTCAACAGTTGAAGCAGCCCTTTATCCAGTTACACAAAACACCCACCAGCTCCATGGCACCGTTCGGAGCAAAGCCGGGACAGACAGCCACATTGCCTTAACGCTGACTTTAGAATCCATGAGCAACTCCATTAGCCATCAAAATGTGCATGCAATGTGTGGAAAGGGGGAAAAAAAGACCAAACTGCCTCCCTGAGGCCAAGGACCAAGTTCAAAGATGACTTCAGAGTCCAACCACTGTACTTCATCATAGCCCATGCACAGCTCTTCTTCTGGGCATAATCCTTTCAGATCGGAATACTCTGAGGAAGGAAGTGTCCCAGCTACTGAGCCCACATCGAATGCTGCTCAGACGAGAAAGGCACTTTCCCAATGAAGACTCTGTCCAAAGGCATTTGAAAAGATTTTCATACATATGTCGTTTCCAGAACATTACACAGTATTTCTCCAACAAATTTATGTGTTTCCAGGGAACTCCTGGAGCACAGGGTGAAAAGCACTTAGGTGAAAGAATGTCTGGAGATTCTTTTGTGCCAACATTCTAGCAGACCTCCTTTAATTCGCTATTATTTCATACAGCGCCAGTAACCATTCCCTCATCCGCAAAGGAAATATATAATCCAGCTGTGGTGGCTCCAGTGAAAACCACATCTGTGGAACACTGGCAGAACTGGCAAAGGCCTTTCCAGGCTAGGCAGTGTCAGACAGCTCTTGTCTGAACCCAAGATGCACAGGGTACCCTGCTCTGAGAGCACCGAACTTTGCCAAGACCAGATGCTCCTTTGTGTGCTGAACCAATGGGTTTCAGGTAATCCACACCGAAGAGGAAGAGACTCTCCTGAAATATTTCTTCCAAGACCCAGAAGTAAGAAGTCCCTGTCCTCTCTAGGGTGGTGGCCTGTGCCAGAGCCCTTGTTAATGTCAAACAGAGGAAGGAAAACTGGCACTCCTGGATTCTGGGGGGAGGTTCTACCACGCAGCTGGCCGGCTGGGCAGCTGGCTAGGAAGAGAAAGATAGCCACCTTGGATCACAATTCTCTCTCTTTTTTGGAGTTGGAAGCCAACGTCCTTCTGGGCACTGGATGACAATATTCCAGGAGTCCCCGAAACACACACACACACACATGCACTCCCCGCTCTGTTTAGTCTATCCCCGAAGCGCGGCAGCATCTTATTTCTAAGCCAATTTTCCATGTTCAAATCTTCCTAGTCCCAAGTACGCCCCAGGGGTTTAGTCTACAGACATATAAAGGCAAAAGGCAGCGTCCCCAAGCTTGGACAGACTTTCACCCCAGCACAAGGCCTAAGGCTACTGGGCTGGCATGTCGCTGGCTCTGAGCCCACGGGTCCCCCGTCCACCCCAGACAATAGAACAAGAAAAGGAAAAGTGGACTTACTGCTATGGCTTGCAGCCTCTCCTTGTGCAATTCCGCCTCTGCCATCCTGGAGAAGGGCACACGGGCAGGAGAAGGAAGAAAAACAAAACACACGCTGTAGTCACCCAAGGAGATGGAAGGGCACGCGTGGGGACTCAACTGGACCCTGGGGACACCCAAGGGGCGCGTGGGGTCCGCTCCTGGGGGGCGGGGTGGCAAAGCTGCGCTCTCGGCTGTCTCAGAGCTCAGCCTCGCTTGCCTCGGTCTCCGCCGGCGTGGCCGCCTGGCTGCGCCTCAGCGCCGCCGCGGAAAGGCAAGATCCTAGCCTCTACCTCCACCGCCACCACCGGCCGCGCCAGCCGGGGACGTGGGCCGCCCGCAGCCTCCGGGAGAGCGCGCTCGGCCGCGCTAGGTCCCCGCCCTGACGTCTCTGCGCCTCGCTCCGCCCCTGGGGTGTGGGGGACCCGTGGCCGCCGCCGCGGCCGCTCGCGAGTTGGGCACCTGGGGCGCGGGCGATCAGCTAGCTGGGCGGTTACCCGGCGCACAGCTGGTGCGCCTCGGTGGCCGCGCGCGCTGCGCTCCGGGTCTAGACAAGACCAGGCGGCGCCCCTGCTCTGAGCAGAGACATGCCAGCAGAAGGGGCCTTTGGCAGAATGCGGGCCCCAGCACGTGTCCTTACACGCCGGCTGCGGCCACCCAGTATCCCCAGCTCCTCCTAGCTGCCTCCAGATGCTTGGGCTCCATGTGGGGGCATTTCCAACAGATAAATGCTGTCTTGTCCACGGGCTTTAGATGGTAGGACCCTCAAGTGCAGGGTTTATCACCAGATAGGCCACCCTTCTGGTAACATACCAACTGCAGACAGCTCAGAGTTTGAAGCCCTGGGTGTCTTCCTGGACAACTAAGTCACTCTGAGCCTCAGTTTCCTTATCTGAAAAAAGAAAAGATTGCAAATGACCTCTTAGAGACATCCTATAAAATGAGTGCTAGGAGCCTGGGGGAGATTGCTCAGTGGGTAAAGCGCTTAAGGGTGAGGACCGGAGTTCATATTCCCAGCACCCAAGCAAAAGTCAAGTAGGCGTTCCTGCAGTACAAGGGAAGCCAAAAGCATGAGCTCAGCACTGAACACTAAGCTTCTCTGATGACAGGGATGTGAAGACATCCTGACACACAAGCCCCAATAAAACGCATGCTAAGAAGAAATGCTCTTTTTTCACTTAGCAATGTACTAAAAAGATACCAAAAAGAAATGATGGGTGATGAAGGCTAGGAATACAGCTTAGTTGTAAAGTGCTCACCTGGGCTGTACTGAGTTAGTCCTGGGCTGGATCTTGGGACTGGGATTGGGGGTGGGAATGATGGCTCCAAAGCAAGTGAATTAAAGCCACCCAACTGTATATTTTAAAAATGTTTTTTAAACAGCAAATTGCATACTATGTACGTTTAACAGCCATTAATTCTCACAAATGGGGATGGGAGGGGAGAGGAGGAAGGAAAGGGCCTAAGTGACTCTTCAGAAGCCATCATTTGTAAAGATCTGTACTTTAAAGCAGAATAATTAGGGCCACTGTGATCAGGGTAATCACCTTGCTAGGCTCAGATAATGAGCTCAGAGTAGCCAAGATGAGAAATCAAACCTGAGAAAAAGTCAGCCAAGAACACAGATGAAAAGATCGGAAGAGCAGGAGGTAAAAATGGGAAATTCACTACAAAAGCCACAACAGGGGGACAGGAAATTGCATCAGGGTTACTTGCTTCTCTGAGGTTCAGGAGAACATAGGCTATAGAGAAGCTGTAGGTTTCAGGAGTGAGGAGTTACGGTGACACTGGAGAACAGTGTATGCATGGGGGCGGGATTGGTTAGGAGGGATAAGAAATGATAAGAGGTGGAAAGCATTTGGGAGTACCAACTGCCTTTTCCAGATCGTAGGAAGTGTGGACAGAACAGGAAAATAGTCAACAAAGAGAAGGATGTGTAGATCAGGAAAGGTTTGGGTACTTGGAGATCAAAGGGAATATTAGACTCAAAAGATGCTAGAGCAAAGGAAAATACATTTTAGGCAGTGTGGTCTCAGATTGGACCAGAAGACATTTTTGTTAGCATCCCTCACCAGTTTCACTTTGGAAAGAAGGAAGAATGCAGTAGGGAATGAGGGGGAAAGGGGGAGAGACTGGAAGAAATTTTGAGTTGAAATTCTATTGAGAAATTGGAGAATGTTGCCTTAGTTGGTCTGGCTTTCCTTGAAGAAGGCAGTGATTGACACTGATGGAATTGGAGGGTGGCACTTTGGAATACCTGGAATGATTTATAAAGGAGCTATGGGAAATGGGGAACACTAAAACTTGGATCCTGGCACCAGATGGCTCAGTGGTTAAGAGCCCTGGTGGCTCTTCCAGAGAGCCCAGGTCTAATTCTTAGTACCCACATGACAGCTCACAACTGTCTGTAACTCCATTCTCAAGGAATCTGATGCTTTTTTGTGGCCTCTGTGAACACTGAACACATGTGGTGCCCAGACACACATGCAGACAAATATATACATATATTAGATCTTTTATCTATATATTAAATCATATATATATGTATATATATGTATCTATATATGTATCTATATATGTATCTATATATGTAT